ATCATGTCTATCATGCGAGGAAGCCTTAGCAATATCCTTCACTTTTTGAGCTGAGGCTTGAGTAATCATCGTTTTGTTAACAACGTCCAGAATTTTGTTGGATCCAGGTTGGTCTACAGCAGAATATCGTGATTTTCCAGTCTTTGGTTTCATAGAAGTCCCAGAAAGTTCTCTTTCACGTTCCGCTCCCAAATTCTCCATTTCTCCTACATGCGTATTTATCAAGCGCATAAGAGATAGTTTGAACAGAAAGGATATATGGGAAAATCAATACATTTCACAAATAATACCTTCAACAGAAAGCTGATCTTTCACTTCCAATGTAACACTCTGCTTAGTGTTGTTCCTATCTTCATTCAAGTCACTCGACTTAATATATGCCTCTTCATCTTTTTTAACACTGTTGACACTCTCCTTTAATGCATTTTCTTCTGAACCCTTTTCTTTCTTAGCTTTAAGAACCGGACAACTTTGTTTTTTTTCTTTTGATTCTCCTGAATCACCAAAGAATCCCTCATACACATCTTCGGATCCTCCAATATCTTCCTGCAATTTATCTGGTACATTCGTATTAATTATATATACAGAAGCATCCTTGCCCCTCAAACTATTCATAGCAACGATGGAGCTTGAACTCTTTAGTGACTTCTGTGCTTTAGGCCGTTTTGACTTCAAAACTTGCTCTTCATTCCTTGTCTTACTCTGACTAATCTTATCCACAGAAGAATAATCTACATGTTCAATACTTGGAGCTTTCTCTCGCTTTGATTTACTTTCCAACGAGACTAGTGTTTCACCTTCTGTCAGGTACACATCTTTTCTTGTGTCAACACTTTCAGTTTCCTTAACACTTCGATCTGGAAATGCCACTACATTATCTTCCAGTTCTGGCTTCGAACCCATCAAAGCTGCATCTAGGTCAGTGTTGCTTGGTCCTTTTAATGTACCCTCAACATCATCCGCATAAGAATCTGATATTTTATCAATCTCTTTTGCCGGGTAGATATATGACGGTGACAGACAGGACAAAAGCGGAAGCTTCAGAGTCTTAGAAACAAGCTCCTCACATGACTTTTCATCAGCATCTTTTTCAGTATTGGATACAAAATGATTCCCGTCAAGCCTGTTTGACGGTGGCATATACTTTACCCTCTCCTTTAGCTTTTCCTTCTTCGCAGTGGAAAACTTACCAGCACGCTTTTGTGCATCAGAAACACCCAAAGTGTCATGTTTACCTTTTGAGTCTGACTTGTTGACAGAAACATATCCATAATCTTTCATAATCCTGTCTTTCTTTCCAAACTGAATAAGATCATGAGAGAGAGGTGATAACAGCTGATCTTTATGGAAAGGGAATGACACCATAGCCTACACAAAGGAATGCGTCAAAAACAAACTCGTATTCATCAATGTTCGATATTCATCGAGAACAAAGAAACAGAAAAAAAAAATTTTCACCATAACAATTTTAGTCGGCGAATCATGAATCCCATACAGTAACCCTTCTTCAACTTCTGAATGGCCATTCATTTGCGACGTTGATGGTGGCATATTGAGGCCTTGTTTACTACAGTTTGAAACATTTTTCAGTGACGAGAGGTCACTTGAACCAACTTTTATACGGAGTCTGAGTGTTTTATGATTTGATGGAGCAGAAGAAGAACTTTGCGTGACAGATTTTTGTTTGCTTTCAGGTGTCCCTATATTACTTGATTTGACAAACTTCTTCAGTTTTCCAAAAACATCGGAAGCAGGAGCTTTTGAAGTGGATCCAGATACTGATACTTCAGGTACAACCGATGAAGCTGAGCAATTAGACCGACCCACCTATAAAATCAGTTTTGACTCTTTAAGAGAA